AGGTTCGCCACCACTGCCTTAGACCAAGCCGTTGCACAGAAATTGGCCAGCTGTTCCCACTTCTTTTAACATTGGAGGGGTTTTATTCCAGAGTCCACTTGTGCTCTCCCCAAATTCTGTCTTCTTGGCACCTTACACCGCGTTCCCTTTTGTCTCGGTTTTTTCCAGAATCCCATGCCAGCCACCCCACCCCGCCTGCTACCCAGCGCCCCTTGGACTCTGTTCCCCCTCTGGCCCCCCAAATCACCACCTCGGCTCCCGAGATGACCAGGACCACCTCCTCCTCCCCATGGCATTCAGAAGACCATGCTTCCCGGCAGAGCCAGCCGGTCACCCGACGGATAACCAAGCCTGCCGTCCTCTCCACCCTTCCGTGGACAACTCAGGGCATCCGCCAGACCACCGCCCGGCCCCTCTTGACAGCCCCCGTGGTTCCTGCCGCCACTCAGACGGCTTACGTTGAATCGGGCAGCGCAGAAGGCAGCGGAGATCCAGAACTGGGCACCAGCGGAGATCAGGAAGGCAGTGGGGCCGGCTCTGCAGGTACGTTACACACCTGTTGTGTGCTCTGCAGGTATGTTACACACCTGTGTGTGTGTGTGTGTCTGTGGAGGTTCTCCGTCAGTCAGGTCCCGGTTGTCCCACAGGGGCTTTTTCAAGAGTCAGCTGGACTTTCTCTGTTTGTCTTCGAAGACGTTTCGCTTCTCATCCAACAAAGGCTTCTTCAGCTCAGGAATTCTGGGAATTGAAGTCCACGAGTCATAAAAGAGCCAAGGCTCCCCACCCCCGGTGCAGGGTCTCCTGCTTGAGCAGGATTTTAGATCAGAAGACCTGCAAGGTCCCGGTCCCTTACAACTCTCTTGTTCTGAATGATCGGCAAGCAGTCTTTTGAGAATTGATAGATTCTAACCTCCTTTTGGAAAAAGCTAAGCCTCTAGTCCCTATGGCCGCTGTAGAAAAAAAAGGGCAGGGTTTTTTTTTCCCCCACCTCATCCTCAATTGGGGGCGTTTTGTCCTCCCTTACAATAGTAGCTGACAAATGGCGGGAGGTCGAGCAGTGATTTTAAAGCCGAGTGTGTTCAAAAGACCCGAGACCTCCCTGGTCTTCACACACCAGCGTTAACACTGGAAGTTTTTAAGAAGAAACTGGACAGCCATTTGTCCGAAGTGGTATAGGGTTTCCTTTCTGAGTAGGGGGTTGGACTACATGACCTCCAAGGTCCCTTCCAACTTTACTATTATTATCATTATTAATTGTGATCTTCTTCCTGTGGCTTGAACAGGGGAGGAAGAAACTGAAGACCCCAAGGTGACAGGTCCCCACCTGATCGAGAGAGCCACCTGTTACAACACCCCTCTGGGATGCTGCTCGGACGGAAAGACCCCGGCCGCTGACGCCGAAGGAAGCAACTGCCCAGGTAAACCACTTCCTCTCTTTTGCGGATGCCGAGCTTCACCGAGGAACGACGTTCTCGAAAAAGGCATCCTCAAGAAAAAAGCCAAGCTGTGCCCCTCTGGTGGTGAGGGTGAAGTGTTGGGGGCAGGGGTAGGCAACCTTGGCTCTTTTATGACTGGTGGACTTCAACTCCCAGGATTCCTGAGCCAGTCATGCTGAGGGGAAAGGGAGAGGTTTCCAAGCTGAGCCATGCTGGCTCAGGAATTCTGGGAGTTGAAGTCCAGGAGTCATGAGGGGGCCATAGTTCCCCCATGCTGGCTCAGGAATTCTGGGAGTTGAAGTCCACGAGTCATGAGGGGGCCATAGTTCCCTCATGCTGGCTCAGGAATTCTGGGAGTTGAAGTCCACGAGTCATGAGGGGGCCATANGTTCCCCCACGCTGGCTCAGGAATTCTGGGAGTCAATCAATCAATCTGTTTATTACAGCAGTAAGGCCAGACGTATTCTGGAAGTTGAAGTCCACGAGTCATGAGGGGGCCATAGTTCCCCCATGCTGGCTCAGGAATTCTGGGAGTTGAAGTCCACCAGTCATGAAGGGGCCATAGTTCCCCCATGCTGGCTCAGGAATTCTGGGAGTTGAAGTCCACAAGTCATGAGGGGGCCATAGTTTCCCTCATGCTGGCTCAGGAATTCTGGGAGTTGAAGTCCACCAGTCATAAAAGAGCCCAGGTTGCCTACCCCTGGTTTAGGGAATGCAGTTCATCCCCACTGCTGCTTTTTCCTCCCCAAACTGTGTGAATTTCCTGACCCAGATCAACAGCACCCAGGAGGGAAATGAAAAGGGGAGGGTCCCTTGTCCTCCCTTTCTCTTCCCTCTTTCTCTTCCCTCCTCCTCTTTCTCTTTCCACCTTCCCTTCTTTCTCCCCTTTTGTTCCGGTGTTTGCATGCCAGTAACCCCCCTCCTCCCCCTCCTCTTTTTTTCAATAGTTGATGGTTTTTCTCTCTCTCTCTCGGCCCCAGCTAACCCTCTTTCTCTCGTTACTCAGCCGGTCCAGGAGGGTCCCCACCCAGGCTGCAACTTGGAGGACCTTGTATGGTAAACTCTTGCCAGTTCTGCTACCCCGGTCTTCCCCTTTCCCCCCCCTCAGAGTACTAACCCTCCCCATGAGCCTCCTTCTGATCCATCCAGACTAACCCCGAACCCGCGGCGCTGTTCATCTGCCACCATCTTGTTCCTTACCGCTTTCTGCCGAGGGGCTGAACACTCTTTTTTAACGGTTTGGGTGTCGAATCAAAGCTTATTTTGACACACTGCCTCCCATGTTGCTTTCTTTAGTCAACGTTAACCCAACGGTCTCTTCCTGGCCTTGTCTCTCCTCCCCCCCCCACCTCCCTGTTTCTTCCCTGCAGCCACCAAAGTCTTCCAAGGGGTCCTCATTTTGGAAGAGGTGGAGGGCCAAGAGTTGTTTTACACCCCCGAAATGGCCGATCCCAAATCGGAGCTCTTTGGGGAGACAGCCCGGAGCATCGAAAGTGTGGTAAGCAAACACGAAAAACCATCTGTCCACTTGTGGTGGGGTTGCGTAGCACAATTGTGGCTGCTTTCCCACAACCCTGGAGGGGGGGATCAGCACCCCCTGTCGGTCCATCCAATTAAAATCCAGCTTTGCAGGAGATTTTGAGGAGGACCCTAGTGGGTGAATAAGGATGCTGATGCCTAAATCTTTTTTTGGTGATTGGTTTGTTTCATTTCTGGGCAGCTGGACGAGCTTTTCCGCAACTCGGAGGTCAAGAGGGATTTTAAGAGTGTCCAGGTGCGGCATCTGGGCCAAAGCAGCGCGGTCAGGGTCATTGTGGAGTCCCATTTTGATCCAGGTAAGTCTGCACCTGGTTCTCCCTCAATCGGTTAGATTTACGATTGATCCGTTGGTTGGTTTGAATTCAGTCACTCTTGAGCAGGGGTGGGCAACTACGGGCCCTTTTAGGATCTGTGGACTTCGACGCCCAGAATTCCTGAGCCAGTCTGGATGGAGGGGAGGAAGGAAGCATGGCCGGCTCAGGAATTCTGGGCCTTGAAGTCCACAGGTCATAAAGAGGCCATAGGTGCCCAGCCATGCTCTTGAGGCTACATCCGTAGGGACTACATCTAAGCCCACCTCCCATTCTCCCCTGCCACAACAACCCTAGAAGGTAGGCCAGGCTGAAAGGGAGCAAGGACCTTTTTCCTAGTCCTTGTCCCACTCCTTCACTTCAACACCGCTCCAGCTGTGTCTGTTGTGGACTTAAAACTCCCATCCTCTCTCGCCAGGCCGGCCAGGAGTCCAGGATGATGGAAATGGAAAGCCTGAGTGTTTGTATTATCCTAGGCCATTGTTGCCCCCCCCCCCCCCCGTTCTCTCAATTCTTAAAAGCTGGAAGGATTCAGGCTGGCTGGAGATTGTAATAATTCTGCTTTTTTCCCCCAGAAGAATTTCCAGGCAGGCAAAAGGATGCCGCAGAATCTGGTCCCGGATTTTCTGCTTTTTTTTATAATGCAGGATCAACGTTCCAAATCCCCCCCTTTTTTTTTTTTTCCTTTCCTTAGAGCCAAAAGACTTGTTCTGAGTTCAAAGCTTTTATCAGACGGTGGCACATAAAAAAAGAAAAAGAAAAAAAAGCAGTTTGTCTTTTGCTTTTCATTTTGAAACCCCTTTTAAAGCGTGTCTTTTGCTTAGCGAAAAGAAAGGGGAAGCTGAGCCCGGGGGGGGGGGACTCTGTGTGTGTGTGTGTGTGTGTGTGTGTGTGTGTTGTTTGCTGGCTTCAATGTGGAGGATGCCCCCTCCAGGCTCCTGTTTCTTCTTTTCCTTGATGTTTGTAGCTACTTCTTACACGGCTGCCGACATCCAGAGGGCCCTTTTGAAGCAGATCAAAGCCTCTAAGAAAAAAACAGTCTTGGTGAAGAGGCCGCAGCATGAGAACATCAAGTTCATGGACTTTGGTATCTTCCCTTCTTCCTTCTCCCCTTTCTCCCTCTTTTCATCCTCTTTCTCCTCCCTCCCTCCCTTCTTTCCTATCTCTCTACTTTTGTCCCTTTTTTCCCTGTCTCGGCGGTTAACATTTTCCTTGCCAAAAAAAATGTTCATCCCTCCCCAGAAAGTCCACTAAATCTTCCTGGGATTTTGCGAAAGGGTTTTTCGCTGCGAAGACAGGCAGTTCCCTTTTGGTGGGCAGCGTTGCCAGCTTCCTCTTCCTCTCCTGGAGCCAGGGGTGCCAATTCCTACAGCTTTTGCCCAAGAGAGATGCTTTTCCTAATTTTCCTCTGTTTGGGAAAGGTGGAACAAGAACAAAGTTTTCGGCCAGCTGCTTAACAGGCTGGGTTTTTCTCTCCAGAGTTTTGATCCGTAGCTTAATCTGGGACTGATAGGGTGAGACAGTGCTCCTATTTCTTTTAATCGCTCCATTAATTCCTAAGAAACTTTATCCTGCCTGAGCTTCACGTTTGGGCAGGGACAGCGTCCACAACCGCAGAGCCAACGGAGAAAAGATTTGTTTCTCCGCTTTCTGTCTCTTCCCTCTTATGCCTTCTCTCCATCATGGTTGGGTTTCTTGTGGTGGGGAGTTCCACTGTTCCATTCCAGTCCCCCAACCCTTCAGCTTCCTCTTGTTTAGAGATGGGAAAGCCTGGGGGGGGAACTGAAAAATTTGTGGGGAAAAAGCAGCTTTGGGAAAAAATGGGAAAAAGCCCTAGGTTTTTCCCATTTTTTCCAGGTTTTTTTTCCCATCTCTACTCTTGTTCTCCTTCTAGACTGGATCCCCCAGCTTTTCACCACCACCACCACCACCACGATCGCCACCACCATGGCCCCCACAGCCAGCGGCTCCCAGCGGTTCCCCATCACCCCTACCGGCCGGACCCTGAATCCAGGACGGCTAAACGGGAAATCCTCTGGGACGGTCGCAACCAAAAGACCCGGCACCACCCTTCCAGCCTCCACGGATCGGAAGAAGCCCCTGCGCCCTGTGCCCACCACCCGGAAGCCCGCTCGGCCCTGTGAGTCTCACCCCTGCTTGCATGGGGGCACCTGCGAGGATGACGGCCGAGATTTTACCTGCAGCTGTCCAGCCGGAAGAGGAGGGGCTGTTTGCGAGAAAGGTAAGTCCAAGGATGAAATTCCCTGACAGCGAGAACAATTGATCAGTGGAACCTCTGACTGTGGGTGCTCCATCACTGGAGGTTTTTAAGAAGAGATTGGTGTAGGTATAGGGCAGTGATGGCGAATCTTTTAGAGTCCGAGTGCCCAAACTGCAACCCAAAACCCATTTATGCATCGTCCGGTGCCAGGTGGGTGTGGTCCATTGGCTGGGTGTGGCCTATTGAGTGGGCATGGCTGCAGTGGTAACGGCAGACTGGGTGGGACTAAAAAGTTCAATCAATCAATTCCAACTTTGCAAGATCTTTTTTTTCTCTGGGAGAAGTTGAAATTGACTGAATGAACCTTTTTTTTTTTTGCACATGACGGTGGAGGCCTAAAGCAAAAAGGTTTTATAAAACCCAGCTGAAGGCCTAGGACTGGGGCGACAGCGTGCGTGCCCACAGAGGCCTCTGGCACCCGTGCCATAGGTTCGCCAACTCTGGTATAGGGTCTCCTGCCCGAACAGGGGGGTAGACTAGAAGACCTCCAAGGTCCCTTCCAACTCTGTTATTCTGTGTTCTATGTTCTAAATCATCTTCCCCACAAACATAAACGTAGCATAACAGGGTTCAAGAGGAAGAAGAAATATCCACTTTGGGGAAGAAGCATCCCATTTCTGCTTCTCAGCTCTGGCAACACAGCCTGCCTGTTTCCTTTGATTTATTTATGACTGATGTTTATCCCCCCCCCCCCCGCCACTCTCCAAATGGCTCTAAGGGCCGGGCAACAAAGAGGCAGCATTATACACCAAGTGGTCTCACAGAAGGGGGCCACTGTTGAGAAGGCACCGAAAAGCATTCCTGCTTTTCAAATGAATAATGGGGCATTCAGAGCCAAAGGGGCGATGATGGGGGGGGAGATGGGTAAATGCAGCACACCTACGTTTTGTAAAGAAAGGGTCTTTTCTTACACTGCAACACACTCAAGGGAACGGTGTAAAGGACATGGTGAGAGTTTCTGGGGGGGGAGAAGTGCTTTTATCCCCCTGGATTCAAAAGCTCTTGCTTGAATAAGGAATAACGCAGGGATTCCCCCTCCCTCCCCGTAGCCTCCTGGCTTTCTTCCTCTTGATCCTAACACACAATTTCCCCTGTGAATTCTCTGCCCCGTCGCAGCCATCCGATACTTCATCCCCAGCTTCGGCGGGAAGTCCTACCTGGCCTTCAAAATGATGAAGGCCTACCACACCGTGCGCATCGCCGTGGAATTCCGGGCCTCCGAGCTGAGCGGGCTGCTCCTGTACAACGGGCAGAACCGCGGGAAGGACTTCATCTCCCTGGCACTGGTGAACGGATTCGTGGAGCTCAGGTGAGGGGTGGCCTGACCAGGTGGCAGGAGAGGTAGGGCTCGGAAGGCTTTCCTTGAAGCTAGATCGCCAACCAGACGCCCCGACGAGAACTTGGCAGGAGGGACATTGAAGAAACTGCAAGGCCATCGTTGTCAAAGCTGCTAACGTCGGATGATTTTGCTTTGACAACAGATGGAGATGCAGCCATTTTCTTCTTCTGTTTTACTCTTAGAGTTAGATGATGCTGGGGGTGGGTGGAATGTGCATGAGAGTTTAGCTAGACACAACAATAGTGAACCTAGTGTGAGAACCAAGGTTATTGAAGTAAGAGATGATAAGAAATGGCGGGCTGGAGAACTAGAGGGGAAACCTGCATTTCAAACTAATTGAGGAATGTGATTTATGACAGTTAATTGGAGGGAGGAATTGTGCTTTGATACTATGTGCTCAGGGGAGGGGAACCCAGTTTTTGGCTTCGACCGTATTAGTGCCGATGCCATGCTTCTCAAATAAAGATTCTTTAAGGTAAACAATGCCTCAAAGTTCTTCGAAGAGTTTCGTCTGTCGGAACCATGACAATCATCTCTCACAACCTCTCCCAGGTTCAACACCGGCTCGGGGACAGGCGTGATCACCAGCCGGGTGCCCATCGAGCCTGGCCAGTGGCACGCGCTGGTGGTCAACCGGAACCGGAGGAACGGCGTGCTGTCCGTGGATGGAGAGCCGCACGTCCACGGCGAGAGCCCAAGTGGAACCGATGGGCTAAATCTCGACACCGACCTCTTTGTTGGAGGAGCCCCAGAAGACCAAATTGCTGTGTGAGTAATTTTGAGGGAGGAGGGCTTCGTCCACCGATGGCTGGCAATTTTTCTAGATATCAGAAGACGGCTATCCAGTCCCCCCTCGTCCTTCTCTTCATTAAACTACTAGACAGACCCAATTCCAGCAACCGTTCCTTATATGCTTTAGCCTCCAGCCCCCTAATGAGCTGCAGTTGTGTTGAGCATGTTGCTTAAAGGAGACTGAGCTGTGTGGGAGATCCTTAGCAAGCCAGGATCCCACATCCCATAGTCCCTGGCTGGAGTGCCCTTGCTTTAAACCCGGAGGAGAGATTTTAGCAACTCCTGGGCCAGTGGTGAGACTCGGGGTTCAGAGCGCCCTTCGGGAAGGTTGAAGTCTTTGGGTGATTTCCTGGCTTGTCTCTCTCCTAGGGTGGCCGAGCGCACGTCGGTCACCGCTGGCCTCCAGGGCTGCGTCCGTCTGCTGGACGTCAACAACCAAATGTATGACCTGCGGGAGAAAGGCGACGACGTGCTCTATGGCAGCGGGGTGGGCGAGTGTGGCAACAACCCCTGCCAGCCCGACCCCTGCCACCACGGTGGGCTCTGCCACGTCGTGGAGGCCGAGATGTTTCACTGCGAGTGTCTCAACGGCTACACAGGTGGGCAGAGCCTCTGTGTGCGTTTGTGGGTGTATGTAAGCTGGCGTCCCCTTCTTCCCTGCAGAGCTAGCGTTCTAAATGCAGGGAGGAGGCGTTCCCCCCCCCCCCCGGGCAGGCTGGCTATCTGCATACACAGAGGGGTGAAGAGGCTGGGACTCTCTCCCCCAATCCGCTGCTCTGGTGAAAATGATGGTTGGTGGAAGAGAACTGGGTAGAACTGTGGGGTCCGTGGTGCCCTCTGAGCTTGGTGGCCTTCTTGCAGACGTTTCATTGACTGCACTAGGTAACATCATCAGTGCTAGGAGAGAGTGGGGTTTGCAGGGAGGAGTAGAAAGAGAAAGACTGGGGGGTTCCTGTTGCTCTCTGAGATGAGTTATTTTCTTGTAGATGTTTCATTACCCAACTAGATAACATCATCAGTTTTCAGGGAGGAAGAAGAAGAGGAGGAGGAGGAGGAGGAGGAGGAGGAGGAGGAGGAGGAGAAGAAGAATGGGGTCCCTGGCACTGTCTTGCAGAAGTTTCATTACCCAACTAGATAACATCATCAGTTTTCAGAGAGGAGGAAGAGGAGAATGACTATGGGGTCCCTGGCACTGTCTGAGCCGGGTTATTTTCTTGCAGACGTTTCATTACCCAACTAGATAACATGATCAGTGCTAGAAGGGAGCAGGAGCGGGGTTTGCAGAGGAAGAGGAGGCTGTGGGGTCCTTGGTGCTACCTGAGCTGGGAGCTTTTCTTGCAAATGATTGCCAAATCCATTCAAAGCCCCTCCAGATGTTAGCTGCCTTGCTAATTACTCTTTGCCTCTTGCCCTGCCCTAGGACCCACCTGTGCCGACGAGAGGAACCCCTGTGACCCCAATCCCTGCCACCTCTCCGCCACCTGCTTGGTCTTGCCCGAAGGCGGGTCGAAATGCGAATGCCCCATGGGGCGAGGAGGCGAATTCTGCGAATCAGGTGAGTGGCCTCTGGGAAAAGCTGGAAAAGGTGGGGTTAGGCCAGGATTGCAGCTGCGACGGAGGTTGAAATCATCCAAGCAGAATTGGTTGCAAGACGGATCCTTAAGGGCCAGTCTTTTTCAACCTCAGCAACTTTTTAAGACAGGTGGACTTCAAACTCCCAGAATCCCCCAGCCAGCACAGCACAGAATTCTGGGAGTCGAAGCCCACCCGTCTTAAAAGTGGCCAAGGTTGACAAAACGCTGCATAAGACACTCCTCCGATTACGCTCCTGCCGTTATTATGCCCATGGAGTTAAATTTCTGTGTGAAGCTGTCCTGCTTCCAAATAAAAGTTTCTCCAGCCAGAATTTCCAGGGATCTTTTTCACATTTCTTTAAACGTTTAAAATGAAAAAAAAACATCATCCGCTTTTGATCCCAACCCCCTTTCGTGGGAGCTTTCGATCCACAGACCGGGCAGCCTGTCGTACGTTGGATTTGAGCTTATAGCAAACGGCACAAACCCTGTTAATTCAACAAGCCACCGCTTAGCACACATCCAGTAAATGGCTTTTGTTACTTCATCCATGCCGCCTCTTCTCCCTCTCTCTCTCTTAGTTGCAGAAATGGACCAGACCATGCCTTTTCTGCCAGAATTCAACGGATTCTCATACCTGGAGTTGAATGGTCTTCAGACATTTGTGCCAGATCTACAGTATGTTTTTTTTTCTCTCTTCCTTTTCCTTCCTTCCTTCCTTCCTCACCGCTTCAAGAAAATAGTAATGATGTTAACAACTGAAGTGGAAATCTTCATTTATAAGTATTTTCTATTGACTGTGTCGTTCTTTATGCCGGAGAGAAAGCGCTGATTGCACTTAACGTCACCTCCTAGTTCCCTGCCAAATACAGGCAGTCCTCGACTTAACGACCACAGTCGGGATCAGAACTTCCGTCGCTAAGTGAGTCCTGCCCAGTTTTATAGCCTATTTTGCCGTGGTCATTATCAAACGGCTGGGCTGTTAAATGAATCCGGTCGGCCATTAAGTGAATCCAGATTCCCCCCTAGAAGCCAGCTGGGAAGATGACAAATGGCGACCCTGAGATACCGCAACCATTATAAGTTCATTTGGGTTGCCAATTTGAATCACGGGACCGTGGGGAATGATGCAATGGTCGTAAGTGCGAGGACTGGTCTTTTTTCAGCGCCCTTGTAACTTTCAATGGCTGCTAAACGAATGGTTGTAAGTTGAGGACTTACCTGTAGAGGCTTTTTTTTCCCCTTCCTTTTTTATTCTCTCTGTCTCTCCACTCTTTTTTTTTCTCTTCTTCTTCTTTTCTCCTGTCTTTCATTCTTTTTCTTTTCCAGGGATGATGTATGAATTGGGGCAAAATGGTGATTCAGATCCATCAGTTGGATCCGAACTCTCCTCCTGCTGCTTTCAGGGTTTGATTGGGTTCAGTCGCTGAATCATTTCAGCTTTCCAAACTGATTTGAGGGGATCTGACAAGCCGAGAAGTTCCGAAATCTCTTTGGAAGCCTCTTAATTCAGTTTGAGAACTCAAATCCTCCCGGCTGATTCCCTATCGGATTCAGTCAGGAATCAGGTCAAATTTCCAGATGAAATATTCATACGGCCTACTTTTTAAAAACAAAACAAAACACACACACCTTTTCTTTTCTTCTGGTTTTTGTTTTGTTCTGGTTTTTGCAACGTGGGAAATTATTTTTCCCCACGTTGTTGATTTGCCTCTGTTCGATCCCCCAGGGATAAGATGGCCATGGAAGTGGTATTCCTGTCCAGAAATCCAAACGGTTTAATTTTCTACAATGGACAGAAGACGGATGGAAAAGGAGATTTTATCTCCTTGACCCTTCACAATGGATACCTGGAGTACAGATATGACTTGGGCAAAGGAGCGGCCGTAATCAAGTAAGAAAATGTTCCCTTATCTGTTGGTTTTTTTAAAGTTAAAATTGAGGCGTATTTCAGCCCTTATGGACTTCCCAGAAAAAAAAACCTAGGAAAGCAGGTTTTACATACATTTATTTCATTTCTTTACATCCTGTCACCATGGGGAAAACCCTTGACAGCTTCTAAGATATGAAAAATGAATGAAAGCGTCCGAAGTACAGTTAGGCGTATATTTTTTCACCTGCTTTGCAAAATCATAACCTAATAAATCAAACCAAAAACTTTTGTACTGTCATTGCAACTTTAGAACGCTGGGTTTCATAACAGCCTTACAAATAATAACAAAGTATATCACTGTGATTGGGTTGTCGCCTTATCGGTGGGATGGGCAGCATATAAATTTAATGAAATAAAGAAGTAAAAAAATATTTTGGGTGGGGAAGAGGAAAAAAAAGAAAGAAAAGAGGAAAACAAAAAAGAGTTAAAAGGTTTTGAAATTTCACTACTTTTCTTCGATTTAAAAGTCTTGATTACAGACCCCCGGAAATCATTATAACTCAAATTTTAAATATGGGATTAAACCTAAACCATATGGAATTGTATTGTCCTATCTTGGCTTTTCCAAAACCAAACTCTTGACTGATTTTAAAAAGTTCCCAGTGTGAAACTAGGGCAGGGGTAGGCAACCTTGGCTCTTTTATGATTTGTGGACTTCAACTCCCAGAATTCCTGAGCCAGCCATGCTGAGGTAAAAGGGAGAAGCTTCCAAGCTGAGCCATGCTGGCTCAGGAATTCTGGGAGTTGAAGTCCACAAGTCATGAGGGGGCCATAGTTCTCCCACACTGGCTCAGGAATTCTGGGAGTTGAAGTCCAGGAGTCATGAGGGGGCCATAGTTCCCCCATGCTGGCTCAGGAATTCTGGGAGTCAATCAATCAATCAATTTATTACAGCTGTAAGGCCAGACATATTCTGGGAGTTGAAGTCCAGGAGTCATGAGGGGGTCATAGTTCCCCCACGCTGGCTCAGGAATTCTGGGAGTCAATCAATCAATCTGTTTATTACAGCCGTAAGGCCAGACATATTCTGGGAGTTGAAGTCCACGAGTCATGAGGGGGCCATAGTTCCCCCATGCTGGCTCAGGAATTCTGGGAGTTGAANGGGGCCAAAGTTCCCCCATGCTGGCTCAGGAATTCTGGGAGTTGAAGTCCAGGAGTCATGAGGGGGCCATAGTTCCCCCATGCTGGCTCAGGAATTCTGGGAGTCAATCAATCAATTTATTACAGCTGTAAGGCCAGACATATTCTGGGAGTTGAAGTCCAGGAGTCATGAGGGGGCATAGTTCCCCCATACTGGCTCAGGAATTCTGGGAGTTGAAGTCCACGAGTCATGAGGGGGCCATAGTTCCCTCATGCTGGCTCAGGAATTCTGGGAGTTGAAGTCCAGGAGTCATGAGGGGGCCATAGGTCCCCCATGCTAGATCAGGAATTCTGGGAATTGAAGTCCACGAGTCATGAGGGGGCCATAGTTCCCCCATGCTGACTCAGGAATTCTGGGAGTTGAAGTCCACAAATCATAAAAGAGCCAAGGTTGCCTACCCCTGAAGTAGGGGAACCAGCTTAGCTTAATGGCTTCAGAGACAGAATAGAATGAGTCTTGTTTTGTCTTTTTCTCCCTGTGTAATATCTTGCGTTCTTCCCCCAGGAGCAGAGAGCCCATCGCTCTGAACACCTGGATCAGTGTCTCACTGGAGAGGAACACCCGGAAAGGCATCATGAGGATTAACAACGGAGAACGGATCCTGGGTGAATCGCCGGTAAATTAATGCCACTCTCGAAGACATTTGGGACCCCCTTGTGGGCAGTTTCTTAAATTCAGACAAGGATTGCAATCCTCCCCCTCTCTTTTAGCCTCCCGCGGTCTTCCCCAGAGGCACCTTATCGTGATCTGACTGCATTTGCACACAATACGTTTAATCCGGTTATTAAATTAATTCGCTTTTTTTTTATTCGCATGATAAATCAGTTGGGATGGGGATTGCAAGAAGTGCTAAGCCTCCCAAAACGAGCCCGGGTTCAAACCATAAACGGGCTTGGTGTAACGTGTGGAGGAAGCTGTTAGGTTCTCCCTGGTGCAACTGCTGGAATACCTGGAACAACCAATGGGCCCCTGTTAGCATGAGATTTTGGTGAGATTCTCTCCTAATCCCAGAGCAACACAACGGCCTTCCTCTCCTAGCTAATCTGTGGGTCTACACAGATATCCTGCCTTGAAGTCTGGAGGTTCCAAAGCTGTGACAGCCCATAAAAAAATAAACTGGGTCTGTGGTTATGCTCGATTGCTTTCAAACCTAGTTAGGGTGTGGTGGCTGGTATTACTGGGGCTGCAAATGTTTGCAACCTTGCCTGGAAGCAAATTCTGTTCAGTACAGGTAGTCCTCTACTTACGACCACAATTGAGAGACATTTGTTAAGTGTGTTTTGGCCCCATTTTACGACCTCTCTTGCCACATTGTTAAGTGAACCCAAAACACAAAAATACATCAGAGCTTTCATTCAATTATATATATTTATGAGCTAATTGGAGATAATTGGACTTATATCGGTGTGAGATATATATATATATCTCACACCGATAGAAGTCCAATTAACTCCAATTAGCTCATAAATTCTTTTTTTTTTTATAAAGTTGTATTGATATTTTTTTAACAGAATTCAATAGTAATCACTCAACAAAAACGTGTTGTCTGAGTATCTTATTCACTAATACAAATTCAGTTCCTAATCCCTAAATCTTTTCTCTAACCGTTGATAAAATAACTCTCTATGTGGTGCTGTGATATCACTGATCTTTTTTCTGTTTTCTCTTTTGATTCCCCTTTGTGTTTTTTCTTCCTCCTCCTCCTCCTCCTCCTCCTCCTCCTCCTCCTCCCTTTCTCTTGCTGTCTGGATTTCAGAAATCTCGTAAGGTAAAGAGATAAGTATAATGACCCTCTCATCCCCATCTCCTTTCCATCACGATCAATCATTATTTTTTTTTGCTTCCCCATCCCAACACCAATAATAGTAATATAGGTTATCATCCCCCTCTTTTTTTCCCCATTGTACAACCACCTCTTTTAGCATAGATGCTTCCTTTTTTCTAGTTAAAAGAGTGCCATCCTCATCCAGAATAATTAGTTTTGTGTGGCTTCTACTCCCTTTTCCTTTCCCAAGTTTGAGCCATTTTCCATCATTAATTCTTTTACCCATTAGATAGTTCCCTTTTAACCCGGTGAATTTGAAACCGCGGGTGGTGCCTTTGATATGGGGGCAAAATAAGGGTTCATTAAACCACGGCTTGTGGTTGGGGAAGCTGGAACCGTCCTTTTTTTCTCCCTTGCCACAATAGTTGCACTGGTTCTCAACATTAGATTTGATTAAAATATCTCTTAGCAGGACTGAAAATGTCTCTAGCCAGGACCAGATTAAATCTCTAATAAGCTGTTGGTCTTGCAGCTGTAATGAGCTAACCCCTTCTTAAAACCAACTTTGATTGGCACCGTTTTTCTGTGGGTTAACAAAATATTAAAGAACCTGTGGAGCTAGTTTATTGCTAAATTGGTTTGCTGAGGATACATCCCATCCCTTCCTACAACGTGGTCTAATCAACCATCCAGTTAAAGGTAGCCATAAAGGTCCTGTCCTCCACGAAAACTGTACTGCACTGTCATAAATGTGTTCATCTTCGAGGCGATCCAGAGAAGATTTTCTCGTAGTGGGTAGGTGCCTTCCTTCCAATCTTTGTGGCCTCCGTTCTCAGAGATTTTTTTTCCCCTCCCCTTTTATCCAGTTGCCCCACACCTCGCTGAATTTAAAGGAACCCCTCTATGTGGGGGGAGCACCAGACTTCAGCAAACTGGCCCGGGCTGCTGCGGTGTCTGCTAGCTTTGACGGAGCCATCCAGAAGGTATGGAACGGTCTTCCTGGTTAGTTGTCTCCAAAATGGGTCCTGTGGATTTGGGGTTGGTTGTTTGAGAAGGGAGATGTTCATGGGGATTGATAGCTTCACAGTGCACAGTGGTGTCCCCCCCCCCACAAATCTTGCATCAAATGTAAGGTCTCCAGCCTTGGAGAGACAGTTGGACTAGAAGACCTACAAATATACAACTCCGTTTTACTAGTGAATGCTTCAAAATGTTAGTCTCGGGAAAGCAAAAAAACCCTCTCCACTCCTAGATAATATTCCAGTTCAATGCTTCTCTTGGTTTTGAAGGGAATTGTACCTGGAAGGCAAGGCTGCCTTTTTTGATCCCTGGGGTGGGACTTGAAGGCTATCTTGGGTGGCCTTCTGAGAACTTGTTCCCAGAAAGAAGTAGATTGAAAATGGCGGATCTTTAGTTTTTCTGGCTACTGGAGAACTACACCTTTGAAGAGATACGACAAATACTGGGTGGAGAACGCAGGGATTTGTGTTCTGTAGCCATGGAAAAGTTAAAATGGATTCCTGGATGGAAAGAGAATCCTTAGGAAAATAAAACCTGATGAGAAAAAAGCAACCACTGATTAGGTTTAGCGCTGAGAAGGATCCAGTGGGTTCCTTGCTGTAAGGAGGACTGGATCCCACGGGTAGGACAGTTTTCAGTTGAATGGTAGGAGGACGTTTTTGATGGTAAGAAGTACTTGAGAAGGAAATCGTTCACTAGAAAGATGGTGGTTTGGTCCTTCAGAAGCTCATCAGATGTTGGTTGAAAGTTCTCTTCTTCGGGACATCATTGCATTAGACCAGACATCTCCTTCCTACAATCCTTTAGGACCGTATGGGATAGCAGCTTCCATAACTACCACCCAGTAGGGTCATTAGCCATGCTAGCTGAGAATTATGGGAATTCCACCAGGAAGGCCCCAATCTGAGTGAGGTTGGCTTCTTTAATCCCTGGGGTGGGACTTGGCAGTCTGCTAGTCTCTTTTTTAAAATTCTGTCATTAAAACCCTAATCTTTCCTTCCTTCCTTCTCTCCAATGGCTCAGATTTCCATCAAAGGGATCCCCGTCCTGAAGGAGGAGAACATCCGCAGCGCCGTTGAGATTTCTTCTTTCCGCTCTCATCCCTGCACTCAGAAGCCCAGCCCTTGCCAGAACAGGGGGACCTGCAAACCCCGCCTGGAGGGCTACGAATGCACCTGCCCCAGAGGCTTCTTCGGGACCCACTGCGAGAAAGGTGAGGCTGGGTAGGCAGAGAAAACGGCTGTGGACCCGGGAAGGAGATCTCAACCCACTCTTCCACAGCCAGTTCGATCCTTGATGGTGCAGAACGGGTAGAACGCCTTCCCCAACCTGGTTGGTGCCCCCCAGGACAGCTCAAGGGGCTTCTTTCTGCTGAATCCCAGTTTGGGTCTAGGGAACCCCAAGAGCAGTGGTTAGAATGCAGTATTGCGGGTTCACTCTGCCGACTGCCGGCAGTTCGATTCTCAGTTGACTCAGCCTTCCATCCTTCCGAGGTCAATAAAATGAAGACCCAGATTGTTGGGGGGCCCTGTAAATTGCCCAGAGAGGGCTCTAAAAGCACCATGAAGCGGTATATAAGTTTAAGTGCTATTGTATATAAGTATATATAATTGTCTTGTATACTTATATATACTTATTTGTTAAGTATATATAAGTATATAAATCTAAATGCTTCTCAAGACAGGCTGGAACTGGGATTTTGAGGCAGGATACATTCCAGCCTGAAACGATCAAAATTCTGGACCTTCTCCCCCCTCTCCCCAATTGCCCCCCTCCCTCCCAAAGCTGAGACACAAAACTTGCTGAGATTCTGCTGAGACGCAGCACCTCCTGGCTGGGGATTATGGGGGGTCTGTTCTCAGGGTTTGCTTCCCTCCCTGCAGTCCTCACCGAGAAGGCAGCTGGAGACTCGGAAGCAGTCGCCTTTGACGGCAGGACCTACATAGAATACCACAATGCTGTTACCAAGAGGTAATGACTGGGAGGGGGGGGGATTTGGGGAGACCGAAGAGGTTAAAACAAAGAGAGGAGCCTGACTTTAAAATCTGGCCATGGGGAAGGAGCCCCGTTTCGTACAGGCCCACCTCCCTCGGGTAGAGCTGGACCACGAGTCCCACCGACTTTTTGCCAAGCAAAGTTTCTCAAGCTTGACAACTTGAAGACGGGAGGACAACTCCCAGAATTCCCCAGCCAGGAACACAGTCTTGGAGCGAAGAATTGGGAGTCCTTCCATTCATCGATTCAGTGACCGAAATCTGGAGGGGGGCTAATCCCTTCTCCCTCCACCCCTTCGTTCTTTGCCACCTTCCCTGCGTCCTAAGCAAGGGACCCAAAGCAGAAAGTTCGTTCCCAGCTCAAAACCTTGAGGGCAACAAAACTCAGCCTGTAGGATATTTTTTTTTGGGGGGGAAGGAATCTCCCCCAGTTTTTTTTTATCTGCAACACCCTCTTCAGAAGCTCCCGTGCAGAGTTCGAAAGCCGTGTTCTTTCCCCTACGCCCATTTTTAGCACGTGCACTTTGCAGATACACTGCCCCTCCAGAGGGATGCTCCATTCAGCTCATCCAACCTATTGTGTCTGCCCACTTGTGTGTGTGTGTGTGTGTTTCTGTATGTCTCGTTCTTGGCTGATTTAATTATTCTCCAATCCCACCCAGGATGTCTTAGCTCTCCTGGCCTTTGGAGACTCCGCTTACAATTCTCCCCTTCCAGAGTCCCTTTGGCGAACGAGATATGTTGTTGCTTTTTTTTCCCTTCCTTCCTTCCTTCTTTCCTTCCTTCCTTCCTTCCTTCCTTCCTTCCTTCCTTCCTTCCTTCCTTCCTTCCTTCCTTCCTTCCTTCCTTCCCTTCTCTCTGTCCTCAACCACCTTTGTGTTTTTGTTTCGTTTGCAAGCCAACTGACCAATGAGATACCAGCGTAAGTAAAACGTCTTCCTCGCTCGCGCCTCCGTTTCCATCACTTTCCCACACCCGCCATCCTTCCGCTTGCCGATCCATCCTTTCCGCCTCTCCCCACCAAGGGCTTCTTGAGAAATTAACCCAGGAAGACCTAGCAGGTTGTCCACCTCTTTACTTAAATCCAGGACACTTTTACAAGTCCTTCTGTCCTTCCTTTGGGCCACGGAGTTAGAGCTAGCTATTTTGAGTGTAACCTGTGCGGTGCTTGAGCTTCGTGATTTTCTTGCAGACATTTCATTACCAAACTAAGTAACATAATCAGTGCTAGTAGGGGGTGGGGGGTCTGCTCTCGTCTTATGTAGCACAAGCACTGGTGTTGTTACCTAGTTTGGTAATGAAACATCTGCAGGAAAACCACCCAGCTCAGAGAGCACCAAGGACCCCACAGCCATTGTCCTCCTCCTCCACCTTCCTCCTCCTCCCACACCCCACTCCTTTCTAGCACTGATGATGTTACCTAGTTGGGTAATGAAACATCTACAGGAAAACCACCCAGCTCAGAGAGCACCAAGGACCCCACAGTTCAACCTCTGAGCTACACGTATTCTCTTCGGTCAGTTCATTTGACTTTCCACTTGCATCCCTTCTCTCCACCCCCCACCCCCCACCCCCCAGCTCTCCTTTCGTTTAACCCTCATCCACCCTAACCCAAGACTGAAGTCACCTTATGAGTTGTTACGATGCCTAATTTCCCATTGCTTGTTCCGCTGATTACAGTAATTCCTCGATGGTGTAAATAATTCGGAAGTTTCTCCCCGCCGCGCATACATCAGGGCTGGGCTAAACGGTTCCAGATCTGAACTGCTTTCGATTCGGAACAACACATTTCAAGCTTGAAAGGGTTATTTCAAGCCCGAAATCAGTTGTTCTGCATTTCAGACACGTTGTTGGGCATTGTGTAGAAAGTTTTGCCTCCACAAAACGTTTGGCACACCCAGGTGCCCAGTGGAAGTATGGCTTTTTCTCAGATCTGTATCTGGAAAAGGCCAGCAGGATGGCCGGGGTTTCATTAGGGACTAGCCGCTTTTTCCACCTTGATCGGTTCATATTTTATCCCGGTGCTTAATGCATGCCTCCACTTTCTTTCTGCTTCTAAGTCCCGATGCTTTGGATTATCATCTGGACCTCAGGTGAGTCTTGTTCCGGAGCAGGTGTGCTTGTACCTTGCATCCAGATCTCGCTGTTCCCTTTTTTTTTTTTTTTTTCATTTTGACATTCGGCTTGGCTCTCTTCTGCATGCTTTCGCCTATTTCTTACAGGTTCACCTCCTTGAGTTATTTGCTATATTTCTCCTTGGAAGCAGAGATAGGCCAGGATGAAAAATCCAGTTGAACGGGCTGGAGGGTTCACCCAGAGCGGAGTATCTCTGCTTCCTAAGAGTCGAGAACAAGGTCAAGCCGTGTTTGACCAGCAAAACCAAGCCCTAGTCATCCAGATCTTGGTTATTCTCATTTTTCAGGCTGGCTCTCGAAGGCATAACAAGCTTTGAGAGGTCCACAAGCTCCCATAAAGAAACGGACAAATTTTGATTCAATTTTTCACCGTTCTTAACGTAGGTCCCTTCTGTTAATCAAGGTTATTCCATCTAACCACAGAATCTAGGCCTCAGTTTCCCCAATTCCAGCGGACCTGGATGCTAAAATCATCCCTGCAGAAAGATTCAACTCTAAATGTGGATTTTACCAATCTGCCTCCCTCCCTCGCATCTAGCCAATTAATGATTAATCTGGTCCATTAATTGTCAATTCCAGACAGATTAGTTTAGGATGTGGCCACAGTCAGTGGAAGCAACCAGTTTTGCAGTGTTTTTTTCGGGGGGGGGGGGTTGTTGATTTCGATAATCTTAAGTTGCAAAACAAAACAAAGTTTTTTTTAAAAAAGTGCCAACTTGGAGCTGGCAGCCGCTGAGGCTGCTATAAAAGAAGCAATTTTAATTTAGGCAATTCCTAATTGTGTCGCGCAGATGAGATAAAGAAAAGGACAGATCTATCTTAGCCAGAAAACAGGCAGTGAGGGGAAATTCAAGTATGTAGGGTTTTTTTTTTCCTGGATTGTAGCTGATAACAGAAGCAATGGAGGCTTCTGTAGCAGTTCCAAATCTTATCATGCTGTTACCTCAAGTAGTGTTTTAAGACTAATGCTGATTAAACCCCAGGATTAAAAACCAGGATCCTTTATAGGGCCTGAAGGCAGATTCCTTTCTCTGTAGGCTGTTCCTCAGCATCTGGTGTCCTTGGGATATACTGCCTCTGAACATGGAGGCTCCACTTATTTGTACTTGCCTCCTCCTCTCGAGTAACATTGGAAAGGTGGCAATTTCAACTCCCTATTTTTAAACCGCCAATTTCCTCTTTTCATCTCAAAAATAGTTTTTGCTCGGAACGATCCGTTTCTCTTCCCCCCCCCCGGGTCCAGGAGGGGAAATGGTGTCCTCGCAGTCCCGTGTTGTGATGTCTCTCGTCTTGTGTGGATGTGTGTATTATCCGTGTGTACATTGTGCTCTGTGACAGTGGAACGCTTTAAACTCTGTAGCTGGGGGTGTTGATTTTCTCTGCTTCCATCAAACCCCTCTCAAGCCGAAGAGAGATCTTGGCTGGGAATAAACCGGATCTAAGAGAAGTTTGATTCTGGTTAGTTGGTCGTCTCACTTGGTGCTTCAGAAGCTGCAGTGTCCCCAAGATCTAGAATTGCAGAAATGTACAGTTCAGCCTTTCAAAAAATAAAATAACAAGGAGGGCGGGCAACGTTAACTTCCTACCATTTAAAGGGAGTACTCAACTTATGACTCACTTAATGCTAAGTGAGACATTTGTTAAGTGAGTTTTGCCCCATTTTACGACTCTTCTCGCCACCCTTGTTAAGAGAAACCCTGCAGCTGTTAAGTTAGTGACATAGCTGTTAAGTGACTCCGGCTTCCCCATTGACTTCGATCATCAGAAAGTCACAAAGGGGGAGTCACGTGACCCCCAGGGACCCTGCCGCCGTCATAAACGTGAGCCAGTTGCCAGGCATCTGAATTTTGATCACGTGACCGCGGAGGATGCTGCTGCAATGGTCGTTAAGAGTGAAAAAAAACGGTCCTCGCTCACTTTTTTCCAGTGCTGTTATAACCCCCGAACGGTCACTGATAATGAACCGTTGCAAGTCGAGGACTGCCTGTAGCGCCGTATGACCCAGCTTAAGTTCCAAGTCGTATTAGAACTAGGATTCACCCATCCCATGAAGCTGCAGTTGGTTTAATCTGAACTCAACCCTAATCCGTCGGGATTGCACATCCTAAACCAGGGGTGTCAAACTGCCCGGCCCGCAGGGTTGGATGCGTTACGCCGAAACCACACTCACCCCATTGCCAGCAAGTCCCAATACGTCGCGACAAGTCACGTGACGTGGCGAGTTGTACACCCTTGTCCTAAACCGTCAACCGCAAAACGTAGGGTTGTTGAGAACCAAAATTCGGCACGTGGTTTACAGCCAGACATAAGCAAGCTGGCAACTTAGCCGTTGGGAGAGGCCAAGAGGTCATCTGGTCTGGATGGAGTTGGGGCTCTTTGGGTAAGCTCCAAAGGGGGGACTCTCTCTCTGCTTCCTGAATTTGACTTCTCCTTTCCATCCCAATGCAGCGAGAAGGCCCTGCAGTCCAACTACTTTGAGCTCAGCATCAAAACCGAAGCCACCCAGGGCCTCATCCTGTGGAGTGGGAAAGGTCTGGATCGATCGGACTACATCGCTTTGGCCATCGTGGACGGCCGGGTCCAAATGACCTACGACCTGGGCTCTAAACCCGTCATCCTGCGGTCTACCGTCCCGGTCAACACGAACCAGTGGATTCAGATCAAAGCGTCCAGGTGGGGGGGGGGGGGAATCACAGTCTCATCTGTTCTTTTGGCCAAGTTTGATCAACACTAGAAGAAGGATCATAGCTTAAAGTCCCTTGACCAGGCCTGACTGTCAGGCCAAAGAAAGTACAAAGAGCTGGGGTCTTCCTTAGATGTAGGAATAACTTTGAGGAATGGGAGGCAGACCCCAGCAAAAACCACCATCAAAGAAAAGAAATTTGAGTCCAAGACAGAAATAACAGTTTGAAAAAGTGTCTCGGGCTTGACTTTCCCTTAGATCTCCCAGAGATAAAGGGGAGGGGGAGGGGAAATAATATATTAAGATTTGCAAGGTTGTCTGACTGCAATCCAACATTTCTCAATCTCCGCCACTTTGACTGGACTCCGATTCCCAGAATTCCCCAGCCAGCTGCCAAGTTGCCCCAGATGAGAAACACCCGATTGAACCGAGTCCTTCGGGAGATTGGAACCCAGAACTCCTGTCTCCATCTTGGCCCTTTAGTTGCGTTCGTACTACAGCTGGTTTTGTCCTGGTTTGGGTTGTTTTGAGACACCCACTTCGTAGCCTTATTTATCCGCCAGAGAAACCACTGCTGTCGAAACAAAACTGCTCAAGTCAATCCAGGAAATTGATATTTTTTTTCCCCCTTTAAAAAAAAAGTCCCCATCTGTGATGTTCCCCAGGCCCCCCATCCCCGGCCTTCCACAATCTGGAGTGAAACCAGAGATGTGTGAAAAACAGTGGCCAAAATGGAGCTGTTGCACCACCAACAACAAAGGCATTTCGCTGTCTTGCCTGGACACGTCTCGTCCTTCACATCCCCTTGGATCTCAGAGGCATCAACCGGTCACCTCTGGCCTTGCGGTCACTCCAGCCCCCCCTCGATATAAATAAAGATCACGCAAGAGCAAGGAGCCAATGGAAGAGCGAGCCCTGGCCCCCGCAAAATGGGACTTTCCCCTTGTGACCTCTTTTAGGATCACAGCAAGTCTAGGCAAGTATCTGGAGGGCGGCGGTTCGCTGCCAGATGAGTCAGCCAAGCGCTGACATCGATGACCCAACTTCTAGAATGACACTTGGCGATCAAATCGCATTTCATACCCAAAACAAAACAAAAAAACCCAGGCATTTAGCCAGCAGGGAAAAGGGGAAGGATTTTCTGGAGTCAAAGAAGGACAAACTCAAAACGAACTAAGTTCTCTCAAGTTCTTTTCCAGTCCCGAGAGTCTCCCATTAAATAGAGAGCAACCGAAGGAAGTAACCCAGTAACTCATTGGAAACAGCACTACTTTGCCCCATTTGGGGCTTCCCCCCCCCCCATCTTAGTGAAAGAAATAACATCTCACACCCCCAATGGAAAGTCAGGAGGTCAAACCTCCACCCTGAGGTGCTATCTTTCCATAAGCAGGCTAATTCGGTCGAGGGAGGGCATTCAGGCATAAAGCATGCATCCTCCTTGAAAGCCAGCGTTGACCCATGCAGGCACCAGGCAGAGAGGATCAGATTGGGAAACCTAATGTGTGTGTGTGTGTGTGTGTGTGTGTTGGGGGTTGGTGAGTGTTCAAGAGGGGTGGCAGACTTAATCCCAGTAAAGCTCTTTTGACATTCAGTGCCCTAAGGGAATAATGTTCATGGCTGCCATTGAAACTCCTGCTAAAAATCTCTCTTCTCCATCCGTGAGAGGATGTCCTGAGATGCTCTACCGACATCTTAGCTGTCGCTGCAGAGTGGTCAAATTTTGCCCGTTGTTACCAACTTGGACTTCCAGAAGAAAGACTAGATCAGGGGTCTTCAAACTTGGCCCTTTTATGACTTGTGGACTTCACTGGCTGAGGAATTCTGGGAGCTGAAGTCCACAAGTCATAAAAGGGCCAACTTTGAAGACCCCTGGAATAGAGAGTAATCGTGGAAATGATGATTGTGCACAGTTGCCAACCTTCCTAGACTTGGTTAACATCTGGAGAGCCTCAACACGGAGAAGGTTGGTCTTGTAGGAACGTCCGATGAGACCTTCCAATGCATTGCCTTGTGTTTCCCCTCTTCCGGCAGAGTCCATCGAGATGGGTCCCTACAAGTCGGCAACGAGTCTCCCGTCATGGGTTCCTCTCCTCTGGGAGCTACCCAGCTGGACACCGATGGGGCCCTTTGGCTGGGTGAGTCCACGAGTGTGACCCCATCACCCCAGCTTGACCTTGGCAGTGTCTTCTAAAGAACTCAGCCGTCTTAATACACAGACCTTCTCCAGGACGTGGGTTGGGTTCACCAGGCGGGAGGGAGCCTCCCTCGGCTTTGAAATCTCGCGAGACCGTCTCCCGGTCATCGCTGAAAGAACCTGGGAGATCCAGACATGGTGGGTTAGCACGGAGCTGGGCCTTCCGTCTTTACCCTTCCTCTCCACCCTCTTTCCACAGGTGGGTTGGAGAAGCTCGGCGTGGCCCACAAGCTTCCCAAATCCTTCCTCACCGGCTTCGTTGGCTGCCTACGAGACGTGGTGGTGGACCGCCAGGAACTCCATCTGGTGGAGGACGCTTTGAACAACCCCGCCATATCACACTGCGCGGCCCAATGAAGACACACCCTGCCTCTCTTTTTTTCTCTTCCCTCCGCCTGGCTATTGCTGTAATTATTTTCTATTTTTGTAAAACTTCTTGCTTTTTTATATTTTGGGAAGGGGGAGGGAGAGGAAGAGGGGGGATAGCAGTGAGACGAGGAGGAGGAGGAGGAGGAAGAAGAAGACGAGAAGGATCACGAGAGGAACATTCTTTTCGTTTACTGTTTGTTTGCCGCATTATCTCGCCCATCGGACTCACGAGGAGCCAAGACTCCGTTTTTAAAAACCCGGCAAAGCTTCGGAATGTGACCAAGGAACAAAGTTGCCCTTTTTTGCTTCCCGGGTGTGTGTGTGGGGTGTGTGTGTCACTCTCCACTGTAAATGTCACTCATACTTGAAGTCATTCTTTTTATTATTATTATTATTATTATTATTTTTAATCAGGTTTATTATTTGTTTTGGCTGACACCAACAACACTAAGGGGGAAAACTGAAGACCACGGATAAAAAGTTGTCCGAGCCACGGCATCTCTGAAGAAAGGAACAGCCACCACCCTACGAACTGGAGGGGGGGTGGATTTCTCACATACACAGACACACACACACACACACACACACACCAAATAAGCCAACAGGGACTCCCTGCAGAAGTCTAAGAGAAATTGGACTCGAGTTTTTACCCCGAAGCCCTTCGGTCTTAACTAGGCTCCATATGATCTTCTCGTGCTCCCCGTTAGAACGACCGAACTGTGTTTTTGTGTATCTGTACGTAGGTGTGTGTCCACACACACACACCAATCCTTTGTCCTCTTTTGACAGAAGCCACAGGAGATGTAGCTCTTGGTAGCAGTGGTGAGAAAAACAGCTTTTCCAGAGAGATGCAGGATAGGAAGGATGATCAGATGGTCTTGGAGAGGTAGGCAAAGGAATTGGGGAAGAGTTAAAACCCGGGTTGTGGGTAGCCTGGTGATCACACAGCATTCCTTAAACCTCCGAGGAAACGAGCTTACATTTCTGATCCAGAATCTTAAAACCTTCGAGGAAACGAGCGTACATTTCTGATCCAGAATTCATAATTCACCAAGAGAAGTAGCGATGGCTCAGGAAACTTGTTATCTGTAGCCCAGACACCAGCTCTTTGATAACTACCTAAGATCACGCCAAGCTGAGCCGATCACCCACCCAATACCTGCAAAATAAATTTTGGAGACATTTCAGAGCAGTAACCATGGTTAAGTTCAGGCAAGAGTGCCAGTTGTCCTGGTTGACTGGTCTTTATGGAAGAAAAAACATTTCAGAGGTTTAACCATGCCCTCCCCATCCTTTGGGAGGTGTCAGTCATGCCTAAAACTGAGTTCCCAGTTTTGACACACGTGTACATGCGCATGCCCATCCCGATTTGTTTCTCATGATTTCATCTATGACTCTTCGGGCAGGAAAAAAAAAAAAAGAAAATACATACCTATCTATCTTATCTATAAATATATACATATATATTTCTATGGTGTGATCTGTACAGGCAGAACTGAGTTGACTTGGTCACGCTCTTTGCCACATTCCAAACCCTATGGAGACGGTCTCCATTTTGGGCAGGAAACTGGGAACGGGACCCTCTTTCCCTTGGGACGTACCAAGCTGGCGTCCTTCACAGGAGGCGACCCCTTCCGCCACGGCTTTCCTACGACGTCCTGAATTGGATTGTGGAGGGAACTGGCAACTCCAGATCCGGTTGGGCTGGAAAGGTGGATTTGGAGCGTCAAATGTCTGTGTGTGTGTTTTTGTTCATATAACTTCCTGTTCCTTCTTGCGCCCTTGCTTGCCTCCGAGGCCTCTTTTCGCACCTTATTTTTAATCCAGCTTTTGCTCTCGGTTGAAACCGCCTCCCAACAAAGCTTGTGGCTCGCTCGGGTGGCTTAACTAGGACCAGACAGGGATCCTTCGGGATGCAGTTTGAATTTATTCCCTGCGGTCGCTCGACCCTCTCCGGAAAAACCCCCCAAACGGTTCCCAGGAATGATTGCAGCCATCGTAAAGGCGCTGAAAATAGGAAACTCTTCAGATTGCTGTACAGTCGTGTTTTTCAAACTAAGGAGACTTATTCGGACCCCCGAGAACAATTGATCAATGGGATGGCTTTTGCCTTCAGAAGCTGTGGAGGCTTTTTTAGAAGAGGATGGACAGCCAGTTCTCCAGAATAGTACAGGGTCTCCTGCCTGAGCCAGGGGGGTTGGACTAGAAGGCCTCCAAGGTCCCTTCCAACATTTATTCTGTAATTCCGTAAAATTGGATGGATTTTGGGGGCCCAGAATTTCCCCAGCCAACATTTTCCCCTTCTTTGAAAATGGCTGGAAAAAAAATCATTTTTTCCCCACTGATCCTCCAAGAGCTTCTGAGCAGGTTGCACACCGTCCTTTCCACCTGATGCCGTGCAGTTTAGTCCCAAGTCCAGGCCAGCTTGGCCGCAAAGCTGAATGTCAGGGTCCCAATTTGTTCCCCCCTCCCTCTCCTGGAGAACTAGGTACAGCTGGCCTCAGCATCTGGAATTTTAAGTGGATTTGGGGTGTTCTTCTTGATGGACTTGGAGGGGAATAATACCAGTGCAAAAACACAGCGGTTCTATTTCTCAATGTGGCCTTATTTTGTATCCCTGGACTCCAAGCTATCCCGCTTCCCGAGACCTGGGAACGCTAGGAAAGAGCCACATCCCTAAATGTGAAGGAACTGGGCCAGTTACCCTCAGCCAACTGTTAACTCTCCTCTGATTATCGGGGACCCCCTTTTACCGGTCTGGTCTCATTAACGTTGACGTTTCTGTGGTGCTAGGGGATAAACACAAGAAAACAGGACAGCCGTGTGTTTCAAACAAAAATAAACATTCAAAAAAAAAAAGGGGAGAAAAAGCATCTTCATGTTTCTTTCAAAGCAAGACAAGCTCCCAAGCTAACTTCCAGATGTTATTGGGGGGGGGGAGGATTTTTGGCTTCCAACACCTGCGGGAAATTTCCAGGAAAAGAAACTTCTAGGATGATCCTGAAATGTGGCACAGAATCTCTTGCCCTGCAGGGCCTTTTGCAACTCTGTTAAATGGAGCAATTTGCTGAACGTGGGGGGTATTTGGGAAGAGTCTTGTTTGGTCTCGAAGGAAGGGAAAGGGCTCCAGACTTTTTAAATAGATCCCATTTTTATTTGCACTTGGGGGGTTAATTGTGGCTTTGCCCCCATCTGGTTCCAGTGCCATGTTCAAGGAAGGAGAACAACTTGACTTTAATTCTTCCTCCTGTTATTTCCATCTCGTTAGCTCAAGGGGGGAAAAAAAATAGGGTTCGGAGGAAATAATTGTGTTTTGTCAGTGAAAATTCTGGGAAATGCTTCAAGAAATTGGATAGTGCCAAAAGCACCGGGATAAACGGCAACCTTTTGGATGCAACACAATTGCCTGTGGTTAACTGGACCCAGATTGACTTGACTCAGTTGGAGACCGTTTGTGGGTCCTTGTTGACTTTGCCGGGGTGCCGGTTGTGGTGGAATTAATAGAAATGTGGGAATGATAGACAAACATCCGAGGATGTTCACCCACATCCTTGGAGGGCTCCAATCCAAGAAGTGTCCAAGGCCGACAGCGTTCCTTGTCGTTCAACGTGGGTGCTAAAATAGGATTTCTCAAATTGTTTGGTCTCGTTTTGCACCCTTCATGTGTTCCTTTATCTGGCCAGGAGATTTTTGGCATCAGCTTTGCATATAGGCAATAGAGAGCATGTCAATTAAATCATTAGTTGGGGGGGAAAAACAATCCATGGTTTGGTGAAAAATATTATAGAAGGCCCCAGATTTGGTTTTGGTCATTTCTACATAGGGCTGGAGAATCTCCCTGGAGAATCTAGAGACAGATCGGTCGTCCTGCAGCTTCTTCTGTCCTCGCAGCTTACAAGCTAGCTCCCGAAGCCCTCTTCCAGGAGTGCAAAATTCCTGTGAATTTTGCTTCTCGATTCTCACGCCTCAACGGAGCCTCCGACTTCGCAGGTGGCTCGTTCTGAAGTTTCCTTATTTCCTAAACCCGGGTGGAGCCGGGGGATAAATCCGAGATCAAATCCCACTGGTGGCCGTGTTTGTGGAAAAATCCGTTTCCCCTAACAAAGGGTGCCTTGTACTACCAGCTTGTAACACCCAGCGCTCTTTTGTGATCAGTGACGCAGAGCGGAGTGGGGGAGAGGCGGGCAGCAGCTGGCCCCACTGGCATCAGATGAAAACATCTGGCTCATGCCGGGGCTAAATTTAAGGGGAACGGGCAGCAGGAGAAAATAAAACGGCCCATATCTCTGTTTTTTTGGCACAAAAGGCAAGTTTTGCAGTTGTCTCTGCCTTGGAAGGAAAAAGGAGACAAATTTCCCCTTCAACCTGTCTTAGACCTTTGTATCCAAAGCCGGGGGGCAAATGGACAGCATCCGAATTCGCGCTCTAGAAAAACACAGCAGGAAAGGAAGATGCGACGGGGAGGGAGAAGGAAAAACAAAACTCTGGCATAAAGTCTTCACGATAAATGAAGCAGCAGCCTGGGATGGGAAAAGGAAGGCTTCCAAATGGGCCGGCCAATAAAGTTGGTCTCCTTAAGTGAGATGTTACCCATTGAGGGGTGTCTCTCTGCATGAGTCACAGACCTGGGCTTGCTTCTCCAAGAAGCCTTGGTTTGGGCTGATGGATTGTTTGTGTCTGCCTTAAGTGCGTGAGGGTCACTTAACTAGGACCAGAGTTTGAAGGAGGCTGCCGTTGTCTCTCTGCATGGGTTTCTGCCCATCAGGTGCCCAATGCGAGCGGTTTAGTGTTCAAAACAGCCTATTTGGTGGCACTCCAAACACAAGAGAGAACAAGGCGGAAGTCCAGTGGGATCCCTTGCTCCGGACATTTTCCATAAAGCCCCGGGCAGTTCAATCTGCGTGACTCAGCTGCAAAAAATCAGAAAGTGATAAGAGAAAGGAGCTATTTTATTCTCTTCCTCTTTTAAGGAGGGGAAGAAAAAATGACTTTGGAGAAACAATGGAGCCTCAGTCTGGTCCCAAAACATTCCGAGGTCTCCGGGGCTGGTCTCTGGGGAGAGGTTTTAAGGCCTGGTCAGCAAGGAGGCATCCTGATGTCTCACGGCGACCAAACTGCCTTCTGAGCTCATGGCCGCCTCCCTTGTTGGGGTTCCCCTACAGTCCCACGCTTGCCTTAATATAGCTCCACCAGGTCCTTCGGAATCCCGTCCAAAGCTCACGAAAGGTGGGGACTTTCCGCCCCAAATGCGGCGGTTTGATTCAGACTGGGGTGGAAACATAATTCTCCCCGTGCCAAGTTATAATAATAATAATCTTATATATAAATGAAAATGTAAATGTTCGTTTGTTCAAAATCTTAAATCTCCGAAAGTTCTCCACCGATTGCTTTGAAATTTTTGACACAACGTTGCATTCGAATACGCGCGTGTTTTTATATATACCTACTATTATATGGATGTCACACCTGTGACAGGTAAAAACATGCTTTTTTTAAAAAAAACAGCGCCATCTGTTGGACGTAAAAGCAACACACGCTTTTACCAGACTGAGCCACAGCAACGCATGGCCGGGGACAGCTAGTAATAATAATAAGAATAAAAGTTGGAAGGGACCTTGGAGGTCATCTAGTCCAACCCCCTGCTCAGGCAGTGTGTGTGTGTGTGTGTCTCTCTCTTTTTTTAAAATAAATGCAAAATATCCTTTGCAGGGCGTGCAGGCGAGAATTCAGTAGTTAAGCTGCTTTGCTTCCCGGGCTTCTCCGGCGAAAAAGGATTTGGTTAGAAAGACCAGGATGAAAACTTCGGCTGGCTCGGCCGTCTGTCCGTCCATCATCAGTTCTGGGCTTGAGCAGAAGCGTGGAATATTTTTTTTTTTTTTAATCTCGGCTCGAAGACGGTTTCCAGCATCTACAGATCAGGTTAGAATCATAGGAAGGAATGGAATTCGTAGGAGTTAAATCAGGGCAGCTGTTGTTGTTTTTTTCCCCTCCCCAAAAAATACCTTGATTTCCCAGGAAATGGGTATGTGGTCCTTTTGGGACAGGGCTCCCCCGAAAGAGGGAACGGAATAAGACAGTAGTCGCCCCCTTTTTCAGAATTGGGATAAATAGCCTGGTTAAAAGGGAAGGAGGAGAGATTGGCTTCAGTGGTTTCCCCCAGAAGGATGGGCCTGAAAGGGCAGTAGCCAAGAGGGGCCAAATAGGCGGCAACAGGGGGGAGTGTGGGCTCCTGGGACAGGAGCAGGTCTGAATCATGCGAATGGCATCCAGGCCTATTGGTTTAAACGAGTGTTTCTCAATCAAAAATCACTTTAAGACGGGTGGACTTAAAGTTGAAGTCCACCCGCCTTAAAGTGGCTTTGATTGAGAAATACCGATTCACAAGAAGCTACAATCCAATCTGGTTCCATCCAAGTCCTAACTCCGGAAAGAGAAAAGGGAGAAGAAAAAAAACAGATTTATGCCCCCAAGTTGGACGTTTTTTGTAACCCGAAAAAGTTTGCCAGTGCCCCCCCTTTCTTGCTTTCTTGCTTTCCTTCCTTTCTTCTTCCCTCCTTTCTTTCTTTCCCAGTTCTTTCTTTCTTTCTTTCTTTCTTTCCCATTTCTTTCTTTCTTTCCC